CATGGCTCTGGTGAAGAAGGCCCAGCAGAGGCTCTTTTTTCTCAGACTTTTAAAGAAAAATAACTTGAGTGAGAAAACACTGATGTCCTTCTATCGCTGCTCAATAGAGAGCATTTTAACATACTGTGTCTGTGCCTGGTTTGCCAGTTGTACGGCTGTGGAGAGGAAAGCACTCCAGAGAGTTATCATCACAGCCCAGAAGATTACTGGCTGCCCTCTCCCATTCCTGGAGGAATTGTATAGTTCTCGATGTTTGAAAAAAGCAAAGAACATTCTGCAGGACTTGTCACATCCTGAACATTTCCTGTTTGGACTGCTGCCTTCGGGCAGAAGATATAGGACAATTAAAGCAAGGACAAATAGATTAAAAAATTGTTTTTATTCGAGAGCTATTATTGCCTTAAATGCTGTATGAAATTGGAATTTGGGTGACATTGGTGGTTTTAAGTTGTTATGTGAACCTTAAGGGAGTTATGGGGCAGTAGAGAATGGCGTGTGAGTGTATATTAATATTGTTGTAGATCACCGTAATGATTGCATCTTTAATTTCGTTGTACTATGTACAATGACAATAAAGTATATTATCATCATCATCATCATCATCATCATCATTATTAATATTATTATTCACACACGGAGCCTTAGTCCTGCCTTATGCCATTCCAATCATTCATCTTGATCCATCACAGAAAGAGCAGCAGAGGTGTGCCCGGAAGAGCCGCAGATGCACGTCCGTTGTACACCCAAAAAACAGATCACTGACCCCAATCCCCTATCACAGCCACGGGGCTCTGGCAACGTACCGTCTTGGGTGCAGGCGCCCAGCAGGTTGATGATGTTCTTGTGCTTGCCGATCATTTTCATCATTTCCATCTCCGAGACCAAGTCAGAGAGATCTTTATCTGTGGCGTCATCTAGAGGACAGGCAAAAGGGAAGCAGTCAGGAAACAGCAGTCAGTTATTCTTGGCAGGTGACATAACCCAGGTGCTGCAGCCTGACTACCTGTGCGGTGGAGCACATACCTCTGGAGCATCCCTTGATATCTATCCTTTGCTTGCCGCCCCTGTGCTCCACGCTGCTACTAGCTGTGTGAGGAATACCTTGTGTGAGGAATTCACCATCTCCCGCCAAGACAGAAGCTCCAGCTTGACATAAGGAAGATGACTTTCAGACCACACAATCAGTCAGTTGTTATTGGGCTTCGAGTTCAAGCGGGGAAAAGGGGACGATATCCTTTCTGGCCACTACTAGCCCACACGGGCTACCAAGATCAGCACGGTTGGGCAAAGCTACGACTTGGGAGAGAAGGTGGTGTGGCGGGACGGCCACGGGAAAAGAGAGCTTTAAAAGGGCCGGCAAGAGAGCCAGATCCACACACAGAGGAAGCCCGAGGGCTCGGACAAGAGGAGTCATTTTTTAAAAAAATGCACTGGGAAAGAGGAGTGAGAAAAAGGGAGGACGAAGCCAACACTGTGACGGCAGCTGCCACCGAAACAACATCCTTTTAATTTGCACAGCCAGTCAGATTTCCAGTGGCCAATCAGAAGCCGGCTGGACAGCAGCCTTGGCGGGCGCCAGGAGAGGCGTCAGCGGAGGCCATGGCGCCCATCGGCACCACGTTGGGGATCCCTGCTCTATGTTTTCAAAAATGTTATGTGGTTATTGATTTCACATGGTTTTAAAACTGTTTTAAAAATTTTATGTAAGCCACCCTGAGCCTGCCTCAGTGGGGAGGACAGCATATAAGAAGGAAGGAAGGAAGGAAGGAAGGAAGGGTCAAGGATAATGAGAACAAAATGAAAATTCAATCATTGTTCAGTGTCAGTTTCTACCTTCTTTGCTGTCCAGTGTCGGCTCCTTCAGGGAACAGCATTGAGCGTGCGTCAGTGGGGAGGACAGCATATAAGAAGGAAGGAAGGAAGGAATGAAGGAAGGAAGGAAGGAAGAATACAATGCTAAAAATAATAAATGGGCAAGGGCCCAGAAAGCCCGGATGACAGCAGAGAAGGAGAAGATGGGAAAAGTCAGGGAAAG